AAATTTTTGTTTCTCTACTTATTATTGCATTGTTATTTATTTTATCACCAACGTTATTACCTTGCGATATCATCTGTTGTTATCCATACCATCTATTTAACGAAAATGCTGTTCGAAACGCAAGCATTAAATCAACTCTCATTAAAATGAATTCTGATTGCAGCTAGACAGCTAGTTCTAATGACGAGATTCAATGCACGAGACTGTTTGATCTTCCTGCAGTTACACTTTGTTTACGAGTTGATCAATCATCATTAATCAAACTTGGTGAACAGGCGAGAAAATGAGAACTATTTTTCTTTCTTTTTCTCGCGACTTTCTCTAAAGTGGAGCAAAAGCAAGCGAGCCCTTAAACTTACAATTAGTTTTAGTCGATTTTCTACGCACTCTCGAAGCTTTGACTTCCTTTTCTTTTCTTTTTTTTTTTTTTTTTAAATTCGAGATACCCTGTACAACGATAACATTACACGTTACCGAACGGTTTCGCAAAGAGCGAGATTTATCCGTAATTACGTAACTGAATACATCTGGTCAGAAGTAAGGAAGAGATCACAGCCACGTGCAGGTATGTTAAGCTTCCAGCACTTCCGTTATCGCCAAACTGTTCCCGGGTAGCCTTTGACTGGCCGAAAATAACAACTCGCCAACTCGGTTTCGTGTTTTACGATCGCGTGGCGCGAACGCGGCATTTCCATGGAAGCATTTCGACGAAGCACGTTCCCGTTTCCTGTGCGCGATTTTCAACAATTTCACTCGCCGTTCTCTCGCTTGCTTGATCTCTCGCTCCGGAATTTGCAATCCGATATTTGGAATTCCCAACCGAAATGCCCACGAGCTTTCGTTCTCTTTATTTAATTTTCTTTTTTTTCTTCATCTTCCGTTTTTATCGAAACTGTTTAACGAATTAACAAAGAGAACGATACAAGACGACGTTTTGACTTTGACTTGAGAGATTTCGTCTGGACTGGACAAATGCTGGAAACATGCTTCTCGTCTCATGAACCAAGACGATCGGTAACCAAATTTTCATGGGAATTTTAACGTCTGCACACTTACTATGGGTCCCATAGAGCCAGAGTTTATTTCGGGAAAGATGGTGTTGGTGTTTGCGAGGATTTGTTTGAAACGTCACGGTCCACAGGTCCCGAAAAAGAACCCATTGTAAATAAACACGTATCCGGCTATAATACGAACAATTCGGAGATCGATACAGTTGTGCCTGCGAGTCGAGAGCAACAACTCGTTCGAATTTACTCCGATCTATCGAACGATTATTCGTTCGAACAAATTCGAGCAAGGACGCATGGACGACGAATCGGTGATCGAGAGTCGTCAGGTTCGTGGATTCGTTCTCGAAATTGGGAGTGATCGACCGAGGGAGGAAGTGTTGGCAAACGCTGAGAAGCACGTGTCCCGAAAGGAAGGAGAACGCACAGGAGAAGGAAGTAGTACACCCTGAGAGTTTCGTTATACGTATCAGGCTCTCGTCGAACGTGCTGTTACACGCAAGGCCCTCCACCGCGGAGGAGAATTCATTCTCGTTAATATGCACGGTTAAAGAGGAACGTACGCCATCTTGGAGCAGCCCTCGGGCGAACTCGCACGCTGCATCCGAAGAAGGTAAGCTGCGTCGACGACCTCTCGAGGTCCGCTCGCCGATCGGGGGCAAAAAGAAACCGGGCGAACTCGCCTCGAATTTCTTTAAAAGGATCGACCACAGCCTCAGGAGAGAGAGAAGGGGTCCGCGCGTGGAACATTTCGTGGACAATTTCAAGCGTCGATTCGTACGAATTTCGAGTAGCCAGAGTCGGCAGAGTTGTTCGAGAAAATGGGTTTCGCATGACGGTGAATTTGTTTTTCCCATCCCAGAGGAGGACGAAAATTTTTCGATCGACTCGATTAACGTCGTAAATTTCCTTTCAAATTTTCGGTTCTTGCGAAAAATATCTCATAAACATAGAAGGAGGGGATTAACCACTTGCGCTGGCAACTGATTGCGGACCATAACGAGTGACCCAAACCGTATTACAATAATTTGTCGCTTTCTTTTTCTTTTTGAACACGTCGGTATGAAATCATTGGATAGAAATTATTGAGAAGTAGTAAATTTATCATTTACTTTGCCTGGGTTATACTTAAATATACTTTAGACTAAGAAAATATTGCAATTTTGGGACAAAAAAATTCTCGACGTGCATGGCACGTCATTCAAGTGCAAGAGGTTAACCACGTTGCGCTGGCAACCGATTGCGGACCACAACGAGTGACCAGACCGTATACAATAATTCGTAGCTTTCTCTGTCTTTTGAACTCGTCGGTATGATATCACTGGATAGAAATTATTGACAAGTAATAAATTTGTTATTTGTTTTGCCTGGGTTATATTTAAATATCCTTAAAACTGAGAAAATATTGCAATTTTGGAAGAAAAAATGTTGTGGCACGTCATTCCAGCGCAAGAAGTTAACATTGAATTCGTGTAAAAGGCGAATTGCAGAAAAAACGTTGAGAAGTTTCGAAGGGAAGAAAAGATCTCTTGCCAAACTCTCTCTCTCTCTCTCTCTCTCTCTCTCATCCAGGATTTAGTTCTAGAGACGCGGAATCGTGGCAGCACTGCCAGCGAGACTCGAAATCAATACTCGGCTGTGCGTGAGTCTGGCCTGTCGCAATCCTTGCAACGCGATATTACAACACGCAGAAAAATACTAGGGGGCACCGGTATTGCGCCGTATCGGTGACCCGATTCGAATCGTCGCTGGGAAGTAACGCGATCGTCCCCCCGCGCGTTTACTCCACACTTTACTCCCGGCCATCTTCTTCTTCTTCTTCTTCTTCTTCTTTTTCTTCAGTCCTTCGTCCTTGACGAAAGTCAAGGAAAAAAAAAGCGAAAGGGGAAGAAAAAGAAAAACGAAGAAAGAAACATTAGCCACCGGTCTTCTCCATGTCGCGTGACGAGCTACATCGAGATAATTCTCACGCGACCATTTGTACGGATTACTCGCAATACTGTGATTGCGCCCTCGAGATTCCTCGCCAACGTGTTACGTGCGATACCCGTACACCGCCAGGGTGAAAAACCCTGTCCGACGAACGAGAGAGAGAGAAAAAAAACCCGGGAAAACTATAATCGAGCTTGGCGTTCGTGGCGATGGACGGTTGCCAGGTACATATTTCGATCGTCGAGCCCCTAACCGGACGCTGACCTCTGCAATCGGATAAACATCTCCGCGGACCGCTTGCCCACGCGTGACGGACGACGTCAAATCTGTTACTGTCGGGGCACCGCGAAACAGAGTGGGTACATGGACTATTTAAAGAAATCCTCTGCAACTGATTGCGAGATTGTAAGATCGAAAAGAGGAGGTCGCTTTCTCGATGAATTTCTCCGTGATAGAGATAGAGGAGCGAAGGGAAACGATCAATGACCGCGGTGCCTCGCCAATCATCGACGGGGCGAGAGACAATCCTTCCGATCGCGATCGTAATCGAGGGGGCTGATTTCGAGTCAAGTCGGCACGAAAAGGGTCGTACCGGTGGAGAATTTTGTGGTAGGGTAAGGTTACTGACCTCGGTGCTAGCGTTATCGAGCGGGTCAGTGGGTCGCAGAACCACAGAGCACATCGCTCTCCCCTCCCACCGCCCCACCGACACCTTTGCCCCCCGCCATCCACCCCCAGAGCCCCCCCGTCTCTACATCTCCTACCTCTCACCGTTCCGGATCCTCCCGTGGGAACGCAGCCGAATGTGCGCGCCAGACTCTTCCAACTTCCAGGCAACGCTTTCGCAAAGAAGACCTCTCTTTCTCTTTCTCTCTCGCTCTTTTTCTCTCTGTTCGCCACACTTGGACGGAATTAAAAACTTATCGGGACAGGGATCTTGCACGATCTTGCGGTTTGGCGCGGGAGAACGAAAGGGGAGAAGCCGCGAGTCAATGGAGACCCGGTTTCGTGGTACGGGAGAAGGGAGCTGGGTTGAAAGTGATCGGTCGAACTATCGACGAAACAAACCGTCGACCAGGCTACTCGAAGAGATGGAACCTGGGATAGAAAAAGAGTCGACGCCGAGGTATTGTCATCTCGATCGCTGGAGGAGATGGATCTTTTTGAAATTACTATCACGACGAGTCGAACGTAGGATGTAATCTCTGTCGGTGAGATATATCGCGGTTGGGCTCGAGTTTTCGGGGGAATTGATCGCGAAAATGTCGTCGAGTGGGATCGGCGATAGCGCACGCGTTTCCCATAGAGAGATTCGAGAGACGTGGCTCCCTCCTGACAACGACGACGAGTTACCGGGAAAGGGTGCTTCGCTACCATTCTCACTAACCATAGACAGCGTAGACTATACTCGAGTGGGAGTAGGAGGCTGTACAAAGGCCGCTGGTAAATGCATCGATGCCGCGTCTTTAGCATCCACCATGTCCGGTAGAGGCTGAAAATAGACCTGAGAGGATATTTAAATAACGCAAGACGGGGATAAAAATGGAAAAAGAGGACGTTGCCTGAATGTTTATTCACCGTTTATCGAACATAGGCGAGGGGGCTCGGGGTCTGAATGGAACACGCTCGCGAGAAAACGAGACAAAGGGAAAGAGGAGTTTTCGTCGACGCCGTCGTGGCTCCGCGAATCGAAAAGAGTTCGCCCTTGACGAAAGGGCCTCGCGGAGAGATTGACGCTGCGAGAGTTTTGCTCGTCGTACGAATCTCACGGACTTTGCAAGAGTCTACTCCGTAAACCCAGTGACCGCGATTGCGAGAGCAAGGACCGAGGAACGAGAGTGGACGCGCGTTGGCGAAACAGATGAAAGCACGGAGTCGAATCGGCCGGAATCGGCCGTGCCTATCGTAATCGATACTGGATCGTGAAGACGACTGGAAGCCTGGCAGCCATCGAGAATCGCCGGCGGCTACACGAGAAAATAGGAGAGAGAAGAAAGAAAGAAAAAAAAGTGTGTACATGTGTGAGAGAGAGAGAGAGGGGGGGGGGGCAGGAGGGAGAGAGAAGAGGGAGAGATGGGGTTTTGGAAAGAAAACAGAACGACGTGCACGGGGAACACGAGAAAACGGGGACGTGGAAAGTACGAGGAGAAAAAATTCATGACGCGACGCGAGATTCCGAGGGAACAAAGGGAGTCGCAGCCTAGGAGGTAGCTTGGCAGCCGAGAGGAATCATGGTGGAGGATTCTCGTTGGATCACGGCGCGCGCGAGACCACAGCCAGGGGTGCAGGAGGGAAACGACGGTGACGCGCGAAAAAAGGACAGGAGGAGCGAAAGAGGTGAAAAAGACGGGGAGACACACGGTTGGGGAAAGATTCGCGAGAAGGAGACGAGAGACATTGGGGGAGAAAAAGAGGCTGGGCACGCGAGAAAGGGATAGGCGAAAAGTGCGATATAGAGTGAAAGCCGCGGATCGCAGTGCGCTTGTGCAAGAAGCTGCCGCTGCCCGGGAAGAGACCTCCCGGCCAGCCTCAGTCTCCGGGATGCTGGGGGCGGCGATCGTGATTCTACCCCCATTTCATCGTGCTCCGATAACATAGTCCATCTCGCTCGGCTGCTGTCCGTCCGTCCATCTCTCGCTCTGCTCCCGTTCCTCTCGGATTAACCCTCGACGCTTGTGTTTACGCCCGCCATCGTAAGGTAGACTCCCTTTCGGTGTCTATCTCCCTCTCTCTTTCTCCTACTCCTCTTCCTCTTCCTCTTCCTCTTCCTCTTCCTCTGCATCTATCTTTATCTTTCGCTCTTCCATTCTCACTTTCTTCTGCCTCCACGATTCTACGTTCGGTACGCGACTTACAAATCCTCTCTCTCTCTCTCTCTCTTTCTCTACCCCCATTCTCCGTGTCTGCGCCTAGCCCTCGTCCCCTCTCCTCTCCGATCAGCATCACAACTTCCTCTTTCTCTCGCCGACCTTCCATCCTCCATCCCTTCTCCGTCTCTCCGCTTCACACCCTTTTCCGCCGAACCCTGGGTGCAGTCACCGCGAGAACCTTCAGCCAACCACCTCTCCAGCAGGTGAGCCTTCTTGGCCGTGCACTCGGTGACTGGATAGTTGGTTGATTCGTTCGTTGGGTCCGTCATCGTTGGTTCGTTCGTCGTTACGTCGGCGTTCGCCGAGGTGTGTGCATTGCACTCGCGTTGGTAATCGTGGCCGCGCGTTGCTCATCGCCCGTCGCTCGTCGCTCGTCGCCTGTCGCCTGTCGCCTGTCGCCTGTCGCCACATCGGCCGTCGCCTGTCGTCGTGCTCGTCATCAGTCATCGGAGCGAGAGTGCTCTCCATCCTCCCAGCTTCAGGTTCGATCGTGTGCACGCGATTTTCCATTAGCTCGTTCAACTAAGTGCGCGGGATCAGAGAGAGAGGAAACCTTTGGGGTGGTCCATAGCTTCGTTCCTCCCCGACCTCCTTCCTTCTTTACCAACTCTCACCCATCGTTCTCCTCTCTTCTCTTCTCTTCTCTTCTCTTCTCTTCTCTTCGCTTTGCTTTCTCGCGCTTCGATTCCAGCTCCAAAATTTCGTCCCTTTCGACCTTTTTTTCCTCCCCTCTTTCCTCTCTCTTCAAACGAGACTAGTCGACTACACACAGGTCGATAAATCTCCTCGTGGTAAAAAAGGCGTTCTTTCGTTGAGATATCTTTCGCTGAGAAAAGAGAGCCAGAGAACCCTCGAGAAAGTCCTACTACTACTACGCTCTCGTATATATATATATATATATATATATATATACATATATACCTTGTTAAAGCTCGTACACTATCATTCATCTGATCGTCCTTCGAGGGGCGAGGTGAGGCGCGGGAGGTGGGCACGCTCCAAGAGCGATCTTTGCCAGCGAAAAGTCCAAGCGACTCGGCGCGCAGGCGCGTGATCCGCGGAATCGAATAAACAGACAGCAACAATTTGGGGAGAGAGAGAGTTTTTGACTCGCGCCTGCTGCCCTCGTTTTCGGAATGGTGTCTCGAAATCCTCCATCCCTAGAGTCGACTCCCTGGCGCGTCGCGCCCCCATCCGCTTCCGTTCGCGCTCCGTTCGATTCGATTTCTCTTTTTCTTCACCAGCGTTCAGCCAGTAGTCAGTAGAGTGTTGGGTCGACGTTAGGCGTTTCGAGTTCGGTGTTCTGAGGGAAAGATTTTTCAGTTGAAATATTCAGGTGCTCGATAACTCGAGACTCGTGCTCGCATTGGCGTTCGCCAAAATGGCGGCTGTGTGGTAGTCGAGAGCACATTCCGCGTTCAGGAGTGAGCGAGTTCTTTTGGATCTCGGGATAGGAGAAAGACCCCCGTCTGGCGCTTATAATATTCCCGTGGTGAGAGAGATCCAGCCCGATTGCTTTTGCCGATCCCGTTAGGATCCATTGTGAAGGGAGAAGAAATCCGCGATGGTGGGTGGTGGTGATTGCAAGGTCGCCACTGTGGAGGTGGAGGCAGCCGCTGCAGACAACACGGCGACGCTCCCGGTGACCAGACCTCTGAATCCGCAAAACTCGTCGCCAAACGCGCAGGACAACGCCGAGAAGAACAACGCGGCGAACAAAGAGATGGAGCTGAAGAACGTGCGCTCGACCCCAGCGAAAAAGTAAGACCAGCGGCCGTAGACGTAGAGAAAACAAATCATCTGGGAAACGCGCGACACACGTCCATTTCCATCTTTATGTTTCTTTTTTTCCCTCATCTCTCCATCATCGACGCACCTCGCTCGTACCCAGTAGTCCAAATCCAACGCGCGCCGACCGTGCTGTCTTGTCGATTGCCTCAGGTTCGTTTTTCTTCTTCTTTTTTCTTTTTTTTTTTTTTT